ATATTTCAGATCGTAAGAAAGACTTAGTTAAGTTGCAAGCAGGAGAGTATGTTTCTCTGAGCAAAGTAGAAGCGTCTTTGAAGACTGATCCATTGGTAGATAACATATGTGCATATGCCAATAGTGCTAAGACGTATGCTATAGCATTTGTAGTTCCCAACCAGAAGAATTTAAGGGTGAGCTGTTTTATTGTTGTATACACTATCCATCGGGTTGTTTCTGGACAGCAAATTATCATGATGGGCTTCAAACAGAGCTATGATTGCACACCAACATCAGTTCCTTTCGTCATGTTTCTATCCCCATAATGCTACATTGCAGTGGCTCAAAGGCAGTTGTAAGGTTTAAAAATGTGGTTAAGATGTTGTCTAATTGAAATTAAACATTCCTAGTAATGAAAATAAAAGCTGCAGATGTTTGGAAAAAAAACCTGTTGATTTACTTTAAGGTGAAGGGATTCTCTGTGTGTCATCAATCTATGGTGTAACACAAACTACTGTTCTGACAGACTGTTTATACATTTCTTTGACACTTGTTCATTTATATAACTATTAACATTAGTCTCCTTCACAGGACAGACCACTCATTACTTCTGACGCATTGCCACTAGCAAGATTGTTATTACTGGTACAGTGATGTCAGCAAACTGATGTTCAATTATAAAACCAAAGTTTGAGCTCATCACCTTGATTGATAGCAAGTTACTATTTGTTTCATTTGTATGTTTTACAGGCAGTGGCTGTTGACAAGTATGGTATACGTGCCGATATAACTTGGGAGGAACTTTGTGAGAATAGAGACATGGAAAGAGAAGTTGTCAAATCGATTCTAGTCACATCTAATAAGGGTGAGTTTTGTTTTCCAGGCAATCAGAACTTTAAAATATCACTGCTATGAGCAAAACATTAAATACTCTAAAATGTATTAAGTTAAGCTCAGATGGAATAATTGTTTTTCTATCTGCCAAACCACCAGGAAAGTTGTTTGTCACAGCTCTCAGCTCTTGACCAAATTGGAGAATTACATCCACCTGAAATAAACTTTCCTACTTTCTTTTTCTTTTCTTTGTAGCCAAGCTTGAGAAGTTTGAAATTCCTGCTAAGATCAAACTATGTCCAGAAGTGTGGACACCTGATGCAGGACTGGTGACAGAGGCATTTAAATTGAAGCGTAGAGAGTTGAACAAATTCTATCAGGCAGACATTGATAGGTTATATGGATAGTGACAGTAGAGGGCGCTCTAACCAATACCTAGCAAAGCATATGAAGGGCTTCCCCATTAAGAAAGTGGGCTGGAAGATTTTTGAGAGTAAAGAGAAGTTAAAAAACAAATCCATATGACTGCATAATGTAAACTAATTGAGAAAATTGTGAATAAAAAAAATCAGACATATGTGAATAAAATATATTTGTAAAATACCAAATTTCTCCAGTACCACCCCAAGATTTAAATTGGGTAACCTTAATAAAACTTCTTGTATTACAAAAGGTAAACCAGATTTTTTTTCACTGTGCACAGCTAGATATGGTACACAGAAACCTACATGCAAATTAATCTTTCTTTATTATTGTGGCGTATTCACTCTTGCACTGTACTCTTTCTCTCTGAATTATATTGGCATTGTAAGATGTTTCAGATTTATAGTCCCTTCCAATATTAAATAAAATAGTCTATTGTATATTCATGATGGTTTTTTCACAACCATATTGACTAGTCTGTTCAGTGGTAGTAATTTATTTGTACATGTACTCATTCTCCATTTTTTTACATGCATTGGACTGAACTAAAGTCAGTCACTAGCGTCTCACAATATAATCAAAATAATGCATGAATAATTGTATATTTCAATTGATTCTGTCAGTATTCCTTTGATATTAAAACTTTGAGTGGATTACCAAATTTTTAGTACTTTACATTAAAGTAACCGCCACTGAAATGAACTTCTGCTTGGTCAGTAAACTAATATTATTTTCTAGAATGATTAAAACCATAAGCCCACTTTTTTTTTGCAAATATGGAAAAGTTGTTTTAAAAATCCACTCAAAATACTTTCCACTCTTGTATATAGATATAATGTTGCCATATTTGTGTAGAGGCATTGCTTTCTTAATCTCATTAATGGTAATGTGTTATTAAACTTTGCATTTAAAATTCAAACATTTTTTCATTATTGGTGAATGAGGGCACTGTTGTGAATGGTACATCAGTTTTTCTAGTTCATGGGGTGTATTAGAAACTCCTCAAAGTGTGTGTTGACAGTATTAAAAAAAAACAATATAATCAAAAGATTCAGCAATCGTTTGCACTAGCAATACAGTATTGAACATATGTTAATTTGGATAAACACAAGATGTATACCTTATTAAATATTCAAAACAAATTACTTGATTTTGATCATCGCAAAGTCGTTGATGAAAACTGTTTGTCGACTCAGTCTTGTGCAAGGTTTGATTTTTACAAAATGTGTGTATTCACAGGAATAAATATGCAGCCACAGTAAGTGTATAGGCGACTGGTAGTATGCAGCTGATAGGAAAGACTGCAGGTAATATAGAAGCCCATGATCAACTTCTACTTTTTTTAGCTCCGCTGAGGACTTTGTCGAGCAGGGCTTATCATACGAGTGATTGTCAGTCGGCATTTGTGTCCACTTTTTAGACTTTGAAATTAGTGTTGCCGACATGAAGCCATACAAAATACCACTTTTAGATTGTTAATATACGTAATGGGTATAAGAGGACGTAATGATTTTATTTCATTGTGAATTCACACCCATCGTGTGTTGATATCACTTATTTCATAATAAGTGTTGGCAAGTATAGGTTTGTTTAAAAATATTCAGTTTATTCTGGAGTGGAAAGTAGTGATTTCTTTGGCCAGTAACTGGCCATTTTTCAAGGGTATTTATATATCCATTGCTTTTTTTTAAATTGTATACATTTACCTGGTTTTAATTTGAGTAAAAATACACAAACAACAAGTTATACCCCATAATTGCATTACCTGTACATACGTGATGAGTTTGGCACATGTTGAGAATTGAAGTTCTAATTTAAGATTAAAATATTTATCCTCCGGTCATTTTTTATACTAGTAAGTAATTAAACTAATCAAATTGTTCAAAAATGAAATATTTAATACAATCTATTAAGTGATGACTATATACAGTTGTTTACAGAAATATTCAATATATAGTCTATTATGTTTCTAAAATTATTTTGCCATTTGTCGAAACTCTCTGCCAATATATCCGGGGCCGAAGAGTCCTTCCACCAAATTCAAGATTCATTAACTCCGATTGAAGGATATGTCTGAATTAGTAGAGTGCTCCCTTAATGGGACAAAAAGAAATCTAATACAGGGCCATCCAAGGTATACGTGTATTAAGTATCCAGGCAATCCGAGTAGAGGTTTTCAAGAAGTTAATCACATTTTCGACCAAAAATATTCAGTGAAATTAACAAATCTGCTAGAGGCTAAAGGTACCTACATATAACATGGTTTAATTTCCATATTGGATTAACCAAAAATGGAAGAAAATTCTTGAAAATAAACTAATCTCAACTGCTTGTAGGAATGTCACCCAAATATTCTGATTTTGGATGACACCACGCAACATAAAGACAAGTACAAAATGACTTTCACAATGGTTTTTAATCTTGCACACGTCAATTTTTACATAGAAAGAAATCCATATAATATACAGAGTAAGGGCCCATCACACCTTGTCTTCATCTTAAATATTAGGAGCTATACATGATACAAGTAAACCAACATGCGACAGTGAACACATAGCTGGTATTGGAGGTCCACAAAATTGATGACCAATACTATAAAACAGGCCACCTTTCTGTTGTCACATATCAGTTACCTTATAAAGAAATCTGAAACTTAAAAAAAATGTAAGCATGCAAATAGAATCAAAATAGCAAACCATCAAAAATTAAAATCAAGGTGTAAAATATAAACCCTCTTTAAAGTCATTTTCACTTTTAAAAACCACCAGGCCCATAGTAAGCACCATAGTAGAGTTCTACTCTTAGAGCATAAATGACGTGCAAATGAAGTAATGTTGCCCATATCTACAATACCATGGCAGTCAAATTAGACAACTACCATTCATTATCAATAGAGGGCGCTATAATGGCAAATTGATCTCAAAAAAAAGTTACTGAAAAAAACATTTTTTTCACTGGCATTTAATTTCTATATTTTTAGGATATTGAATTTACCAGAGAAACGAGCTATTTTGTTAATTCATCACATTTTAAATTTAGTGGATTTTACTTATAAGCAAAAAATAGCAAAATCAAAACCCAGTGAATAAGGGGCGAGGTGCTCTCCTAAAGTCACAAGTGAATGTTGTACGCTACTACCGGATTATTGTGACTGAACCTCATATCATGCATTTTGACAGTGTCAGTGTATGCCAGAAAACAATTTCTTTTGACCAGACATATCATGGAGCTAAAAAGAATTATGTTTAGAAGTGATTATTGTATTGTATATGTCCCCCCTTTCATCACATGTATTGCTGCCAACAATGTTGAGACATGTTGAGTGGAAGGGGACTTGTGGTAGAAATAGTGAATTCCACATTGAGAAAATGTCATCATAATCCATGTCAAGACATCACAATGGCTGTTATAATCATTTTAGCAACAAATAAATTAGAAAATATGATTCAATACAAACATCTCTGGTAAACATACATTTGCATTTTATTTTTTAAGCATTTGATGGTTATTTAAAAAGCAACTATCTTCATAGCAAAATCATTATACACGGCCGCTATGTTCAACCTAGTGCTCTATAAATTTGATTGTAGGACATAAAGCTGAATATTCACATTCAGTAATAGTCTACTAAACTCGCAAAATATTACGAGTAAAGCAAATATTACCAGTAGGCACGACAATAAGATTTAAACATGTTCATTTTCCTTTTAACTCCATGATGTTTATCTTTCAATACATAATACTACAAACAAATACAAGCATCATTGCTAAAACTTGACAACCCTCTTCAAAACATGAATAAAGCAGGCCAGAAAGATACAATATATAAGCCGTGTGTCATTAATACCGGTATCAGCAAGGTTTTATATATAACATACGATATTAATTTGCCAAGGAATCCATTGATTCAGCATTATATTGATACATTGACTCGAGTCTGATCAGCAAACAAAACACTGGTGAAATCAATTCTTTTAAGCAATATTAGAATGAATCGATATGCCTTAAAATTGCATTCCTACTTTGTATTATCCATAGAAAACCTTACACTGAAACCTGCAATTATAATGTTGCATTTTGTAACAGTTAACCTGAAATCAAACAAAGTTTCTCTTAAAATAAAAAACAGTGGTTTTGAGCGATAACAATGAAAATCAGGTTTGATTCAGTGATTAGCCGCCACCACCACATTGTTTTAGTTAAGTACAGGCTAGCTTCAGTGCTCCAATATTTCAAGATTTGTTGCAAAATAAACTGTTTTTATCAATTTTCAAGGTGATTATATACAATACAAAGTAGAAATGCAATTTTAAATTATGAGAGTTGTAATGTTATCAATAGATAATGCAGTAGATGGCCAACAATAGGTCAACTCATTATTGCTACATGCAGAAATACAAAATGTGTAATGAATTGATTACTTCTTCTACTAATTAATAATCAATTATGCAAACAATAGAAAATGAATTCAATATGTCATTCGTGTAATCACACCCTTTAGCAACGAGGCACTGTGACATATACTACATTCACGTTACGGGATCTCAGCACGTGTCGAAATTTTTAATCAGTTGTGTTTGCAGAGGGATTACAGCAGTTGTGTTCACGTTATTCAGGACCCATTTAGGACCGACTGGGTTCGTGCCGAAATCACGCTCTCATTCGTCGATCTGTTGGCCCAAACGATACGCATACGATAATAATAATTGTTATAGTGAAATTATATCCATTTGTTGCAATGGTGTTTATTACGAGCCATCGTGCACATGAACGGCAAAGAAGATTCGAAACACAATTACTTTTTTCACGTCAATGTAATATGTGCAAGAAAATAGAGGTTGTAGCAGCACATAATGATAAATATGCGTCGCTGATGACGGTTTGCGTTCATTACTACAGCATCCGACCATCTACTAGTATATCCGAATTTCCTGTCATCGTCATTTCATGCTAGTATCAATCAACTTATGTTTTTCTTAAATTTACCAACAAGGGCGTGATTTCGGCTCGTGCCGAGCGTTCAGGCAGCAAATCTCGGCACGTGCCGAGTTTCGGTCCCAAGCATCCTTCGGGACCGAGATCGAGTTCTTTTCGGCACGTGCCGACTCGGTCCTGAGTCTCAGCACGTGCCGAGATCTCTAACGTGAACGCCACTATAAAGTGGTGTAAGTGACTCAGTTAGCTTAGATGTGTATTCGCACATCATGAAAAGTAATGTAATTACTATATTTCTGATGCAACTGCATGACCTATCAGAGTTGTCGATGGCATAACCAATCAGATGTTGTTCGCAACTAACATTTTTACATCATAGAGGTATTTCATTGCTGGAGAGCGAATTAAGTTTTCAGATAAAAAAAATAATTTAACACTTGCCATAAAACTTGACACAAACTTGTTAAGATTATAATCACAAAGCACAGCAGTTGTTCATGTATCATTAATGCACATATAGTATGATAGTGACAGGAAAATACCTATCACATTATTATGAATAGGTCATTCAACAACATAGTGAACATGCAACAATGTATATATTTTTAAGAACACAGATATTAGAGAACAGGACACACTGTGCATATTGTATTGTTCGCCAAGATTCGTAGTAGAACCAAAGTTTCTTCATGATCACTGCAGTTTCCACCATCTGACTGGATAGAGTACAACCATCTAAGATACCTAAAAAGGGAAGCAGCACATTGCAAACTATAATAGAGTTCTATTACTCAAACTATATTCATAAATTAACATTTTTTTGAAACTATAAATAGTGGACGTTTTCCTTTTTCAAAATCTGATTTGTCAGCTAAGTTGCATTTTAAATACATTTTTCTTCCGTTTTTTTTTTTTTTACTTCACCAAATAATTACCATCTATGTAAGCTAGTTATCTACATAACAATATATGTTAATCTACATGACAATATAGGCTAATTTAAATATTCATGAACACTAACCAAGCACCAATACATACTACAATGCTACGTGTTACATCTCGCAAATTTTACACAAAAATGTATTTTTTACAAAAAAGTCATTTGTTTACCCCTTGGTCTTTTTTTTAATCATTATATTGCATATTTAATATTGTATACCTTTTTCACAAACATAAATCACAAGGCATTTGCATTAACCGAGCCACAACACTTGCACACCGAAAAACCCTCAATTTTTTTTTAAAGACAGAAAGACCATTAAGAAATGTCTTGGTTATGTGGTTACACAGTATTTGGTATTATTCAGTATTATTCCAAGATAAAGATCACTTAACAGAGATAAAACTTGTGCCAAATTTATGGAAATCATTTGACAGCAATATGGAAGACAATATGTGGAAAGAAACAAACTTTTAAAATGAAGTCCCAGAGAAACTATACAAAACTTCAAAAATGCAGATGATACTTTAAAAACATTTTCACCCCCTTCCCTCTCAGCCTTTGAAGAAGCAAACAATTCTACAAGTTGGAAATAATTTTAACTAGAAAATAAGAAAACTTGGTGACAGGAGAGTGACACAAGGTTAATCTCTGAGGAGTTCATCAAAAACAACTTGCCATTTCACATTTACAAATGCAGATATGGTAGGTTGATTTTGGGAGATACTGAAGATCCTGCTACGATATGCAACTGAACAGCCAATGACAGGACAGCAAGGCAACTGATCAGCCAATGACAGGACAGCAATGCAACTGATCAGCCAATGACAGGACAGCAATGAAACTGATCAGCCAATGACAGGACAGCATGAAAGACACATCAAAAATTGGTTACCATGCCATCCATGATGACTACATCTACAAGGTTTAATACAATTTTGAACACAAATTGATATAAGTATAAATTACACTGTATGGTTCAAAAATAATGAAGTCAACATCAAGTAAAACCTGTCTCAGCCAAACAAGCCACAAAGTTTTTCACTTCATGATAATAGACTTTATTTATCAAAGATAAAAATGCGCAAAGTCATAGGGTTATCTTGTACATGATCCTCAGTTTACAGAGGTGTTTAAAGTAAAATTACATTCAGTTTAGATCAGTTTCTAGTGTACACAGGGCTTGCTTTAGACAGGCTTTACCCCACAAAAATAACAATGTACTGTACTATTGTGGATTATTGGCATATGCATGAATTAAAAGACCAGTTAAGGAGGTTCAAGTGGAAGGGTAAAAGTCATATCTGTCAATATCATGGTCATCAGGATTTTGAGTCACTGAACAATTAATTTGTTTGAGATACAAGAGTCCAAAATGTCATGTAAAATTATCAAAATTGTCATTTTTACACTGGTATCTAGAAGTCTTTCTCCCTATCTCAAACATTTGCTTAGTTACATAGGATGAATAAGTATTATATTATTATCGATAGGAATCCTAATATTGTTAAAACATTTCAGAAAACTGACAATTGCCAGTATGATATTAAATACAACGAGTTTTTCCTCAAAATGCATTAGCAGAACATGTGTAGTAACATGCTCAGTAGTGTAAAATTAAAATTTCACTTGAACTTTCTTAATAGAATAACATGTCAGCAATGCAACTTGAACTCGATCATAAAAATGAAAATTGACATGACTGGATTGGACCATACAACAAGGAATGGATAGATATGGCTGATATGCAGAGTTACACTGCACTGCAGCCCTGTGTCTTTCATGCCGTCGAGACAAGGACAAAACTTGTCATGTAACTTAACAGGTGGAACAACTGCTTTCCTGTTGCTGAGGTTCAGGCAACTTTTCTAGTTTTATAGGCGTCTCAAATACTGGGAGAGATGTGAATGTTAAGGAAACCTGTGGCACCAAATCTTTGGCAATTAATTCATTTACATTGATGAGCTACAGAGTCACCAAGAACTGTACTGTACATCTAAACTGCTGATAGATATTGTTTATACACCAGAATTGTCATCGGTATTCTACTACAAGCCAAATTTGTTTAAATAGCGACATTATTTGAGATAAGACACAATAAACAGCAAACAGGCTGTCTTTTCATTTGCAACTGACTGATCAATTGAGCAATCAGGGCACCTGGTCTTAGCAGGCACAGCCACCCTCTTGTTGCTGTGGTTCTTGTGGGGTATCTTTCAGTTTTACTTCGATCACTGTGTTAAGGAAAATTGTGTTAAGGAAATTTCAACAACATGGCTGCAAACACAAAAATAAACATAGACAGGATCTGATAATCACAGAAAATCATAGGAAAATGAAAAAGAATGTTAGCGGTAACATGCAGAGACAGGAGTACATGCAAATAAAAATGAAACGGAAAAAGAAAGGAAAAAAGTCAAGAAGCAGTGGTGAGAATAAGTGGAGGAGAGAGACAACTGATAAACAAACAGAAAACAAGCAGCCAGTTTTAATTTCTTAACAGTAAATTCTGAATAAATTTATGCTAAATAGTTGGCTTCTTAACCTAGAAAACAGTTGACAGACCAGTTAGTTTAAATTTGTTGTTAATTAGTTGACCGACACCAGGTAGTAAAGAAAATCCAAACAGAAAAGTAAAGAAGCTTTTACTTAAAGCCATGATAAGCACTGCAGCCTTTAAGTTATAACAGTATACAATTTAAGATCAGAACAGTTCATGTACATCACACACTACTAATATATCTATTTATAAAGGTACTCACCAAAACAGCAGTCCTCTATAATCCCCTCCACACATACACGGACAGACATTTATACCCTCCCCTAAATCCCTCCCCCCTACCAGAATTAGCCCTTTTCCTAAAACTGATAAAAAAAATAGCCTAATTATTACAACCTTCAAGAAAAGAAATGAACATACTTGCTGTGTTCACATTTGCATACATTTGTATATTTTTATACTCTTTTACATTTCTTGTTTGATGTTATATGCATGGGGGTTTAATATCTTTTTTTTTTAATATAACAACGATGAGAAAAGAAATTTCCTCTTCATATACCTTTTCCTTCATCTGATAATGATTGGGCGGGGTGAAAAAACTGAAGCACATGAATGTCTTCTTACCTTAAGCAATAATGACACAAAATATAACCCATAGTTGATAGTTCCTGTACTCAGTAGTACCAAGATGTAAGAAATAAATAGTAAAGTTCTGCAGGGCTAATGGTAATAGGTCATAACTTATGTCACCATTACAGTTTTATGTTTTGAGATGCATGTATTACCTGATATGACCTGGTTATGATTACTAAATGGAACTTTTAATCCCTCTTGGCTGTCAGTTAAGTTTCTTGGATTGTAATTCTGACACTATCAACTTCAATCTATTTGCAAGGGCACAAATGTTCATACACTAAGTTCAGACATACTTGAAAAGTGCAACTTTGAGATGTGACCTAGTATGCCAATATAAGACAGTTACTCACAAAAACTACTCTGCACACAACTCTCTACTTGGCCAGCAATTTTTGAATTAAAAAAAATTGGGTTAATATGTATACCATTGTGCATCAACTAATAGTAAGTTTGAACAAATCTGTTTATAAAAATGAAAGACTAATGCACACCTGGAACCCAATCACACATGGACTCAATCTATCAGCCTCTGCCAAGACTGTGTTCAGTTTGGAGCTAACTGTACTTACCTTTCAAACAATTACCAAGTAACGTGTGTAATACAGCCCTTTTGCACCCTAAGCCAGCAACATCACTAACTGGACGCAAAGACATCTTTTTTCCCTGCAATGTCTTCTTTGGAAAACGTGCATGTTAATCAGATTGAAAATTTTGCACCACCCCATTCTTGTACATTTGGCCAATTTACAAGTAGAGCAAAGTACTATTTAAGCCTAGCCTGGCAATCATAAAAGATGTACGTGTATGTAGAGTGATGAGTTGGGTCCAGGCTTACTTACAAAAATGCTCAATATTACGCAGCTCTTCAATATAGTAATTTTTCATTGCTTTCTTTCAATAATATTTGTTAAAGATGATATTATTCTCCAGATTTCAACATTGCTTGCCCACAGCTGGTGATGTTACTGGAAACCAAATAATTTGGTTTATTGAAGAGACATTGTACTTTGAGATCATTTCTAAAGATTGAGACTATTTTGTGAAATATATAAAATATTTAACAATTCCTCAGACAGCTTGAGTTCTGAATGACCCCACAAAAATGTTGAACAAATGCAAATCTTTATAAATGCATTGAAACAATAGTATAAATAATTAGCAAATGAAATTAAAAAAAGTCAAATGGGAATCTGAAACAATCTGCAACATTCAAATGGGCTGATATTAATGTTTAGTGGATATTTCCCACTATCACTAGAAATGATCTTAGAGAACAAGAAATTCGCAAGTATAAACACTGTGTAGTAATGTTTGTACCAAGGTGCTGTGAAAGGATACTGTCTTGATCGTTTTTCTTTTGTTCTTGACTTTCCATTCCTGGTAAAGCTGCCGCTACACGGCGAAATAACTAAATGAAAACAACAAATACATATAATGTTTATGTGTTATTTTATTTACAATCTCAACTTTTGAGGAACGTGTGGCAACACTAAAGACGCTCACATTTAATGTAATACTGTCATAGATGTATAGAATATTTTAATAGGAAAAGCACTGAACACAGGATTAACCAGTTATCTGAGTAGATACATCACATTTCTTGTGAAAGAACAATCAATGGGGAGCTGATATAACAAATGTACTGCAGTTTTGAATACCGTATTACCCCGGGCACGCGCCCAGGGGCCTGAACGTACAAAATCGGGAAAAATTGGGGGTGGGCGCTTACCCGAGGACCACCCCAAAAAAGATTTTAAAAAGTTGTTTTTGTGATCGTATGATAAGGTCAAATAAAGGAATGCTTTCGTACACTTTGTACACGTACTTATTTCTTGATTTATGCGAGGTTTCAATAAACGTGAGCACTCGGTCAAGATCTGTGGGAACACTAAGACACAGGGTCGAATTTCAAGAATAAAACTTGTTTTATGTCAGCGAATGAAGTTGTATTACTCACTGAAATTGACTACAAACTATGGTAAATATTGTAATCAATGCACGGTTACATTTTTAGTAACCGTGATCAGTGCAAGTCGAAACGGCCGGGGAAAAACTACCGCTTGTAATCCAAGAAGGCGATGACCTCATTAGCATAATTTTGTTCACGCACGTATTGATACATCGCATCGTAATTACTGAAGAATAGCAGACAGGGTTATGAAACAAAACAAACTTTTATTACTGATGTGAAATGTTTACAAACTATTGTGAATACATAAACATATTCAAATGGCGATACATAAAAAACAGACTGAAAATAAACTCTGGTCGACCTCATTAACATGATTTATTGACGCACCCACACACAAGACAAAATTATGATGCAACAAGTTCCCATCGTCGGCATGCCTCATTATGGTTATCGTAATGGACTTGAGGTCGGCAAAATGTGTTTTTCTTCAACGACAGAAAAATAATCCACATGACCGTAATGCCATAGCTGTGATGAGGGATGGAAAGAAAGTAGCAATGTCTCAAATGTGCTAGCTCCCGTTCACAGTCAGCTGGCATCGGTGTCGCTGGGTGTATATGATAGAGGGAAGTTGTGCAACCAAATTTGCCGAGTTCGCAGTTTTTCACCAATAAAAAAATAACTAAGGCAAAAACTCACGGTTTTTCAGCATTTTTGTAATAAAGACATTATCCTCTATCAATAATCCGCCCCAAATAGAAACATTTCCACTAATTCTTGTGTTTTTTCTACGTTTTTCGAAAAAACCTGCGATTAGCCTGCGAAAGTAGAACATTCCGGAGGGGGGTGAAACGGAAGAGCCAAACTTAACGCGTAAAAATAGAATGCGTATTTTGATCTCTGCGTGGTCAACCAATGGCTGGACACGGATACGTTTTTGGTTGTTGCCAAAGAGCCCGGCCCCGCGTCCATCGCCTGGCGATGCTCTTCCAATGAGTTTTTACGTAAAAACACAAACAAAACGGCCCTTTTCAGGGCCACCACACACTCCAAAAAGAGAACTACCGTAACAAACACACTATTTAAATAAATCAGACGCGTTCGTTTTTGACAAATACAACTTTATTGTTGACCTAATTCTTGGCTAAAAATCACCCTGGGCGTTTAACCGAGAATGTCCCCAACATGTAACTTTTGTGAAAACAGGGGGGTGGGCGCTTGCCCAGGGAGGGGCGCGTGCCCGGGGTAATAAGGTATTTGCTATTTCCAGTCTCGAAATGATTTAGCATTTAATGTGGAACTGATACATGTACATTATGGTAGCACCAGGGGTGAAACATTTGAAAATTGATCTGTGATTCAAAAATGATCTTAAAGTTACCCAGAATGCTACTACACATGTGAAAGCTTGGATATAGACAAATATGGTACCGGTAGTACATATACAACATCAATATTTGTCTGCAGGGTTACCTGACTGTTGATTTTGCTCTTTGTTGTCATCCTTGTTTTAGATTTGTTTCAACAGTGCCACCATGACTGATTTGAGCAAAAATATCATTCCACCCAAAACATTTGAAAATTTTACAAAATGCTGAAGAAGTTATTTTTTGGACATGGTCTTTCCAATCATTGAAATAATCATGTACATTACCATTGGCGATGTCATGAATCGAAGAAAACA